AGATGTGTTGCTCATGCCCATTCCAATCCCGCCCGCCTCCCCTTCATCGGAATGTCCGGCAAGAAGGAACTGAGGGGGTGGGGCCAGCAGGGCAGCGCCACTGTAGGGGGCTCCCCAGGCTGGCCCAGCGGGCACTGCTGAGGGTAAAAAAGTTCCGGGAATCGTGCATGCGGTGCACATGCACCTAGTGGAATGGACGTAAGCAACACATCTCAAAGAATAACAGTGACAAGGTAAGTAACCGTTCTTTCCTTGAGTCATGTGACACTGCACCACCTAAAGCATGTGTTTGAAACTCTGTTCTAAGGTCCAGTCATGCACAGGCCTTTGGGGAATGAACTGAATGACCTTACTGGCCTTCCTTGGCTTGCTGCCATTAGAAGTGGAGGTGCAGATAAAGCCTTGTTTTCAAAAGGGCTGAGCACCTCTCTCTCCTGGGCTTCAGCCATACTTGTGGTTTCTACAGGCTGCTGAATCAGAAAAGATTAGGGCAGGAGGAGACCTCAGTCACTCATCTAGTCGAACCCCTGCTCAAAGCAGGACCAACCCCATGTGAAAACCAAGTCCATAAACCGTAAGCCTGCTGAAAAGTAGTCAGGAATGTTTTCACAATTGCGGAACCCTTTCTTTTCAATGGCAACATTCCAAGTCCCTGCTCCCATCCCGATCTTTTGGCATTTCCCAAAAAAGAAAGCGACGAGGAGTCCTGTGGCACCTTATAGACTAACTGAAGTGTAGGAGCATAAGCTTTCGTGGGCAAAGACCCACTTCGTCAGATGCAAGTCTGATACTTGATCCAAAAAAGAAAGAAACCAAAATACTGCCCCAGGTGACCTTTTGCCTGAAATAAGTCTCTTTCCACACTGCTTTGCAGTTGCTAGTCAATTGATACTCAGTCACAAGGAAGTATCCGCAGGCCTGTTCATTGCATTCACATTAACACCAAATCTGCTGCCAGTTAAGTCCAGCAAAGAGAAAACTGATGCAGGAAACCTAACATTTCATGCAGTGCTGCTGCTGCTCTTTCCTTCTTTGTGATCTGGTTTGAATTTCAGTGCACGGGTCGGTTAGCACACAAATCTTATCTTAGCAAAGGAACTAAATATTCTTTTGGTTCAGAAACTTGGCACAGTGCTCCTCATTCCTCCAGTTTGGGGCCACACACTAACCCCCCCGAGCCAGCCCCCCCAGTCTCCCCATCCCAGTGCACTCACCCTTCCCCCTGAGCCAGGCATCCCCACCCGAATCGAATCCACCGCCTTCCTCCTGCAGAGCTAGGCACCGGAGGAACAGGACAGCCAGGTAAGTTAATCTTACTTTTAAAGTGGCTGCTCCTGCCACCTGGCCCAGCTTCCTCAGCTCACATTGTGTAGAGGGAGGCATCGCATGGCCAGTTCCCGGGTCTCTGCTGGTCACGTGGGCCAGACCAGCATGCGCTCAGCTCCCACCACAGCCCAGTGCCTCCCTAGCGTGGCGCCCAGCAAGTGTTCCTGCCTGCCTCCCTTTGCTACGACTCTGCCACGCTCCTCACTCCCCCACCCCCGCCAGGTGCGGCAGGGAAAATTCGTCCCCACCAGGCTTCCATCCCAGGGAAACAGGAAATAGCGGACATTTCACGTGTCCGGTATGTCCTTTTTTTTTTTACCAGATGGAGCCCGCAAATACCGGACTGTCCGGGTGAATACCGGACACCTGGCAACCCTACTAGCAGTGCCAGCAGCCTGCTGGGTGCCCTTGGGCAAGTCACTGCCCTACTCCATGCCTCAGTTTTCCTCTTTGTCAAGTGCAAACGATGATGCAGATTTTCTTTGTGAAGTGCTTGGAGATTGATAGAGGAAAACCAGTACACAAGAGCTAGGTATTATTAGTCTTTAAAAAGTGACCTATGCTATCTGGCAACCCTACTAGCAGTGCCAGCAGCCTGCTGGGTGCCCTTGGGCAAGTCACTGCCCTACTCCATGCCTCAGTTTTCCTCTTTGTCAAGTGCAAACGATGATGCAGATTTTCTTTGTGAAGTGCTTGGAGATTGATAGAGGAAAACCAGTACACAAGAGCTAGGTATTATTAGTCTTTAAAAAGTGACCTATGCTATTAATCGATCATATTAAGTCCCCTGCACCCGCCTCCTCCTAAGATCC